AGCGGGCTGCGCGCTCCTGCTCCCGGCCAGCCAGCGGCCCGCGGCGCGTAGTCCCGGAGTTCGCCCGGAGCGCGGCGAAGTTTCCTCCGGAGTCCGCGCCCGCCACGGCGGGGCCCGCTGCCGGCTGCCCGCGAGGTGAGTGCACTTGGGTCGCGGCTGGGGGAGCCGGGGACCGGGACTGCGGGGCGCCGGGCGGACCGGCTGGGGGGGCGAGCAGCGCATCCTCACCTGCCCAGGTGCTCCGCGCGGTGGCCCCCCGCCCTGCGCGCAGCCCGCTTCCATCCCTCGCCGGGACCGGGGACTGGTGGAGGGGCCGCGGAAGCCGGACCCCGGCTTTGAGCGGGGAAAGCCGCCGGCCACCTGTGCGGGAGCCCTTGTGGGCAGCAGACCCGCGCCCGCGCCCGCGTGGGGACGGCAGAAAGAACGAGGAGTTCCCGGTGCCGGCTCCTCGGCCCCCGCGTGGTGGGCAGAGCTGAGCCCCTGCGCCTGCTGCCTGCTCCGGTGCGTCCCGAACCGCGCGCCCCCTTGCTGAGGCTGCGGGCGGGCGGGGGCGCGGGGCGCTGCCTCGGAGCAGAGTCCAGCGGTGGCCCCGGCACGGGGTGCAGCAGGGGAGCCCCGCGAGGAGGGGGCGGGACGGCTGCGGGTCGTCACCGCCAGGCAGTTACTTTCACAAGGCCACCCGCTCACCTTGTGGAGTGAACATCCTGCCTGTCAGCAGGGTTCTGTGGAAAGGCTGAAAGGTGCGAGGCTGGGTGCCTGTCAGGAGTTATTTCCAACTAAGTTCCCGGGTGCGAAGTCTAGCGCTGCAGCCCTCTTGCCTCCCTCCCCCACCCCGTGCTGCAGTCCATCCGCCTGCCCCCCACGTTTTCCAAAAGCAAAATGCTGGAACAGTTCCCAAGATTCTGAAAGGAAAGGCATGCACATAATACAGAGTGCGTTCCTCTGACTTTTTTCCCTTTATGGTGTCAGATCCAAATCAAAGCATTGTGGATGTTTAATGGAACTCCTTTTTGGCAGGCTTGCTGGTAATTAAAAGTCTGATTCTCCAGTGTTTATTTTTCTTCCCCTTCACTCCATACTTGACATTACTCTATCTCGATACAGTTTTGTCTCAGTTTCTGTTCCTCCCCATGCAAAAGGGGTGGACTTCTTTTACAGGCTCATGTACCCACGAAAGCCGTGTGTTTAATATGTATCTGTCTCGCTGAGTCAGTGGGCTGCCACCTGCCAGTTTCAGCACACAGTCGTTAACACCATATGCCTGTCCAGCAAATTGAGGATAAGGAGACTGTTATTGTCTTCCATGGGCAAGAGTTCCCTGACAACCAGATTTTACTATTTCTCAAAAGATTTTTAAGAGTTGCAGCCAAAGTGAATCAGATACACAGAACAAAATTGGAATTCTACCCAATGCATTCAAATAAAATACAATACCTGGGCTCTGACAGCTGATTGGGAATGGAGGGGCAATTAAAGTCTTTTCATCACATGGGAAACATTTTGATTGACTATCGTCAATAAGAAAGACTACGCATGAAATGACTTGAGGAAACAAGAAAGATTTTATTCTTACCTCATTTAGTTTTTCTTCTCCTTTATTACAGTAGCATCCTCCAGCAAATGAGCACCTTGCATGTAGATACTGGTATGTACTAACTAAACACCATATTTTGTAATACAGAAGCTTGGTGACAGTCCAAAATCACAAATGTTTTAAATCATTACCAACCATCTGTTCTCTCCCACTCACTTGAAATGCAGTGTTTTATTTTCACAGGTATCAAAATGTACTTACTCATTTCTTCCATTTCCATGAACATCCTGAAAGCTGTAATGGTATCAGATGTTGGCCCGAGTTTGGAAGTGTTGTGTTTGGCTTATAAGCCCCTCTCCTTTTAATTTTCAATGAGAAGAAATAAAGTTATAAAAACATCTGGCAAAGGCTGCCACATACTCCAGTGAAATCTGATTGTTCCCCCTCTCACACCCACCTTTTTGTTACCAGAGAGAAGTTGAGATTTAGTAGAGTTCCCAGCCTCTCTGTGACATTCGTGTTGTTCCTTTGTGGTCAAAAGGGTGGCATTTGATACTCAAGCAGAGGCCTAAACAGCAGCTTAACTTCAGAAAGTTAGTGCGTTACTTTAGTTAGTTACTCCTTCCATTCTGGTAGAACATCTTCCTAGGAAGAGCTTTAAAAATGGGAGACTAACAATATTCCAGACTCCAAATTAGTAGACCTGAGAGCTGCACATTGTCACCCAAGCAAATGTTGGCTCATATGGGTGTCTTAGACATATTACATGAGTGAAATGTGAGTCTCTGCAGTGTTCTTTATGTTTGTTTTGGGGACTCAGGTTGAGTTTGTATGTAATCAGCAGTGATCAGCAAGAGATATCACAGCCTGTTTTATTCATGCCATCATTGCTGAAAGATTTGAAGTTTTGGGTCACCTGCTTCCCCATCTAAGAATAATTTCCCATTTGGGGCTGTTTTCTCTAACTGATACTGAAGGTTAGAACATTTTTATCTCTCAAAATTAAATGCATGATAAGTATGTTGTTGCTTCAAAGAAACCACAATGTTAGAGATACTCTTTTTCATTGAAATATAGGCACAGTACTTCAAAGGACTTTCATGTTTTTCAGGAAAGACAGTAATAGTGGTCATGTTTATAATTCACAAATAATTGATAAATACTGGATAAATATTAAGAAGCTAGAAAAGGTGAGATCTTATTCTATAGTGCTCTATTTTGGCCTCTCCTTGGAAGTATTAAGATTTTCATCCTAGAACCAGTGTAGGTTTAAAAAGAATGAACTGACACAATGCATAGTTTTGAAAGTAAAGTTGCCTTTAAAAAATATAGTTCAATTTAAACCTTTGGCTCTTACCTAAGAACATGTTACATCTTATTCTTCTGTATACTAAAAATGAATTATTGAGGGGAGAGAGGTTCACCATGTATAATAAGTGCTCTGAATTATTCATGTTAATGAGAGGAATACAGGCAGAGATAATCTAAAATCATGGTTACTTAAAAAGTCATTTGTGTGTGTCTTTGGAATGTATTACACGTTTGGTTTGAAAAAGATTTTCATTGTTATTGTGGGCAAGTTGCCGTCCTAATTATTTTGTTTTGTTTAGGTTAATTTTTAAATGAGCTTACATACCTCAAACACTAAAACCAATTTCTAAGGAGGTGGGGGAGATGGGCAGCTTGCCCAGAAACAAGCCGGGTAACACAAATAAGCAAACCTGGTACAAAGACTTTGGAGTAGATTGTTTATAATTCACAGAAACATAATCAAGATTTTATTGTGTATGCATTTAATGAGTATATATTAAGAGCTAGACATGTTTGTGGAAAAAATAGAAATCAGTTAGGCAAAATTTAAGAACTTCAGTACCATTTCACAGAGGACTAAGAATAGTTATATAAATTATTGCAGAGTGCTTATGAAACCAAACAGAAACATACTAATTTGTAAATCTTACCAACTCGAATTTTCTGGTTTTTCCTAAGGCACGCGGATGTATGTGGTGTTAAGTGACTTTCCTATGCTGGATATATATGTTCTTTGCAAAATAAGCAGCAGCAGGAAACCATCTGAATATAAAGGGTGGTCTATTTGATCTTTGTACCTATGCACCAAATCAAAAACACATTTCATCAAAGGGAAGCTCTCAAATATCTGTTGTTACTGTGAAACTGGTTACATGAAATAGCTTAAGTTCAGCAAGACTGCCAATTTAACAGATTTCTATTGTGTTTCTCCAGAGCTCTAGGGCAAAATTGGTTGTGGATGAAATAGTTGCTTGAACAGGAAGCTGATTCACACCACAGCAGTTGCAGTTAAACAACTTGTTTATAGTCAGTGTTTAGTTGTGTGTAGATTTTGTGGAATTGTTGGGTCTGTGGACTCTTACAAAGAATTTAGGAAATCTCAGTGTGGAAAGTTCAAACTGCAAAAAATGTATGGTTGGGAAGGCAGATAGGATCATTTTTATTTCAAGGATTTGTACCAAAACTGTAACTTGCATAGAAGTAAAGAAAATGGTAATAGAGAAGTAGATGTATCCTTTAGAATGGAGGCTATCTTACAAGAAATGTGCTCAGTGCATAAAGTGGAGGAATAGTTCTTTTTCTTTTCTTTCTTTTTTTTTTTTTTTTGAGAAAACATTCTCGTTTTTGATAGGGTGTGACATTTTTGTGAAGACCAGATTACATTGAGTATTTTAAGAGATATAGTGTGACTGGAAAATAAAAATTGAGGCCCACAGAATATATTTTATAGTACATTTACTATAGGAATCAGTTTCATTCTGTCCATGCCTAAGTATTGCAAGCAAAATTATTCATGTTTTACAGAGCTGGAAATGACTTGAAAAGAAATTTATTCCAATTCCCTGTTTTACAGTTAGGCAAATGAGGGAGACCACGGTGATCATGGTGACTTGCTAAAGGTCACGTTGGTAAGTAGGGGCAGAGCACTGCTCATTCTTTATGTAAAAATTTGTAGTAAATGGGGTAGTATTTAACCATTTCTGGCCATCATAGTAGCAGTGAATACCTGATGGTCATGAAATGGAGCAGAGATAAATGCAGAAGGCTGTGATTTGCTGTCTGCTCTCATACACTGAATAGTTACTGGGAACCACTTAGGCTATGCCCTTAGTTTTAATAAGAAACATTTAATGTTACCTTATTAGTATCCTGAAATGTAATTCACAGTTAATATGGTTACCAAGTATATTTGTACTTAAAAGAACTAGCAGTATAAAAGTAATTTATAATAGTGTGTATTTCACTGCACTAATATTTGGGGATGGTGCTTTTGGAACTCACAAGAAAGCAGTCAGAGCTTTACAGGTAGATATTTGTATATGTAAATATAAGTAGAATTTAAGACAACTAAAGGCTTCAAAAGACATTCCATGCCAAAAATAAAGGAAAAAGAAACAATGGATATTGAATAAAGTAATGTTAGGATAATTACAAACTATACCTATTCATATATCATAACATGAAAAATGAAACTATGGTGCTATCTTAACATGGAAAAATTGCCAAGTCAAATTACAGATCATTGGAATGGAGAAAATGTGGAAGGGTAGATTACAAGTGAAAAAGTAAGCTAATGTACTTCCACCCAAAGTCTTAGTTACTTTTCTCATGTTGATGAGAAAAAAATACCTGACAACCAAAGTTAAAGAGAAAAAGCCTTATTTAACTTACAGTTTGTGGAGGTTTCAGTCCATAATCAGCTGGTTTCAAGGCAGGGGAGCATGATGAGGGGCATCAGTGTAAGGCCAAGACAGCAAAAGCAACTAGAGCTGAAAGCAGGGAGAACAAGACTTTTTCTCCCTTATATTGGTATGCAGGTCACCTGCACAGGATGGGTGCAGTACCCACACCACCTCTCCTCCACCTTCTTGCACAGGCTGAGGATGTTTACAAAGTGAGGATGCTTGGCCACTGCTGAGTCACTTAGTTAAACTTTTAAATTTCTCCAGGTGATACAATGGATCAACCATTACAACCTCTGTAGACAGCTTCCCTAGGGCATGTTTTCTACACCAAGTATGTAGAACTGCTGAGTTACTTAGTTAACCTTCTAAACTTCTCAGGTTGACACAATGTATCCACCATTACAACCATGGCACATTTTCATGTTTCTGATGGAATTCTACTTTAAGAGACTCAAGTTTACCCACATAATCATCCACAATTACTTCTAAATTAGGAAGCAGAGTCGTGAAATGGTTAAGTTACCTGCTATAGAAACCTGATTTTAAATTGCTGGGCTTCTGATGAAAATACAGTACTTATAAAGTTCTTAATTACAGCTCTGTACCAGATACTACAAGTCCATATGCACAAGTTTAGTTTAGTGTGATGTGTAATGTTACAGGAAATATTTGGGAAACTTCTTAATTGAGTAAGATTCCTTCTCTCCACTGAAAGCCAATAGCATCCCATGACCTGGCTCTGATTGATTGTTCTCAACCCTTCTTAAGACATTTTTCAAGGATGGTACTGGCCCTAGTGAGAGTCATAAGGCTAGAGCAATAAGACATTTGAATAGGCAGGTTTTATTTTTCAGATGTTTTTAATCTATCTACATTTCCTTGTAAGTGAGACCAACATCTTGTCCTTTGATTTTCTACCTTGAATGGACCAGAACCACAGATTTCACTGACTTCAAATTCAAAGAGATACTCTAGTCTTTTTCTGTTACTATAACTTTTTTCTGTGCTTACTTCCCTAAGCAATCTTTTTGTTGAGTACCTGTGAGTCAGAAAAACTGATAGACATATGGATTAACATTTTATGCTCTTAAGACTTAATTTTGTTCAAATTGATATCTCTAAAAATTCACTGAGAGATTTCAACAGATGGATAGCTAGCTAGATAAGAGGAAGGGAGGAGTAGAGGGAGGATAAGAGGGAGAGATTATGTTTATATAATTTTAGGCACCAAAAAACAAAACAGGTGCATATTTTTAATTCCCTTGAAATATGTTTGTACAAGTAAAGAACTTCACTTGTCCAATATGGCAAATTAATTACACATGATATATATGAATATATATGCTTATAGCATATATACGAATATGCTTATAGCAAAGATAAAAATATATTACCAACAAAAATAAATGGTTGAATTAAAACTTTATTTTATTTCTTTAAATAAAATATGGGGTCTGTGCTAGTATATAGGAGTTGGGGCCTGGATACACAGATATTTGCTGTCTAAGAGGTATTTAATCTGTGAACTATTTGTATCCTAAAGGCACACCAGCAGTATTTTCAAAGACTGACACATTTTGCAGATTGCTTGTACACATGAGATGCAGGATTAAGTAGGAGATCAGAAGCAAAAGGAGGGACCTGAAAATGTAAGTCGAATTTAGTTCCTTTACTATTTTGTCTGCTAGTCCATAATGTAAGACTTAGTCTCGAGAGTGAAGTTTTCATATCAAATATCATTTCAGTATAGACTAGAACAAGCATTTTGAATATAACACATCATAAGATTTTTTTAAGATTACTCCTCACTTGGTCTTAGGTGTGCTTTAGAATATTGTAGATCCTATATTTTTTAAAAAAAGAAACTATTAGGGCTGGGGATTTAGCTCAGCAGCATAAGCGCCTACCTTGCTAGCAGGCAGTTGTGAGTTCGATCCCCGGTACCGATAAGAAAAAAAAAAATAAATAAAAAATAAAAAAGAAACTATTGGACCTTGAGCATGAAATCATTGTGTGTGTGTCTGTGTGGTGTGTGTGTGTGTGTGTATAAACAACTGCTTTAACAATCACTGTATCCCCTACACAGAAGGCCAGGTTTTGCCCAATCAAGAAAGGTGGTTTTTCTCTACAGAGAGGATGTGGCAGTTGAACAGAACACAATTTGCTCTATGATTGTTTTGCTCTGTGTTGTTCATCCTCACTGGAAGCTTCTTGTCAATTGAATGGCCCAACATTCAACCTCAGACTGACCCCTGACGTTATTTACTCTACTTCTGTTACAATTTCGAAGGCAGTATGAGGTGAAGTGGGAATTGAGAGAGGATGAAATTGAGGTTGTTGGATTCCAGGGATGATAAGGAGAGCCAGCAGCTGCTTTCATTTCAGCTGCACAAAGATCTGGAGAGGCTGTGGAATTTTTACTGGAATATCTGGCTTTTCTTTTTCTGCTTTTCTTGTATGGAACAGAGTTAAATTGTAAAATCTAAGTCGTCCTTCTTCTTTGTATGATTAACTGTGTTGCCCAGGAGAAAACCTTCTTTGTCAGAATAAACAGGGGTGACACGTCCCCATCACTTTGTGCCTAGTGCTTCCTTTTACCACAGAACTTCAGGACTACTTGAACTGGAATCTAAAACACTAAAGAACAAAGTTTAGGAAGAGAAAAACACACCCCGTTCACATGGTGAAAGAAATTTCAGAAGCTTCTATTGGTCTTAGCTTTCGTGTATTCAGATATATTAAGATTACTTTCATTTCTGGTTTATGATTTATCTGGAGTTTTTTATGACTTACATAAAATTTGATCTTATTTTTTATTATCCTAAAATACGTTTTTATTATTCTATCACGCTTACTATTCTAAACCACAAAAAGATGACTGTCAATACAAATGAAGAATGTAATACTTTACTTTTGCATTAGTTTCAGAAGCAAGAAGCCCCAAATCCCACTTAGATTGATAATAGTTTCTTTTTTTTTTAATTTCAGAGGCAATTAAAGCTATGACATGTTCCTTTAATTAAATATAATTTGGGAAAATGTAGATAACATTATAGAATTAATTACATAATTAAAACAGTAAATTTCAGAATGAAAATATTGGTGTAATTTTTTAGAAATGTTAAATCAGTTTGGTTTTTTCCACAGCATTTTTTGAATAGGAAGTTAGGATAAAGGTGATTTATTTACCATTAAAAGGTCAGTTTCTCAATTATTAAAAAATACTTAAATGATAATGATAGTTTTGGACTAAAAGCAGTAACCACAAATATCCTTTCACCTTCTAACATTTGGATTCTCTTTTCAATTAAGGATTATTGTTATTATTTTTATCAGAGGGTAATATTCTATTATTCTGTCAGGGCTAGTATTCAGCTGAATGCACTATCATAGTCTTAATGCTTATTTGTAGCTGGGGCTCAAGTTGCACTGATTGTTAAGTAGTTTAAATGTTAATCCTGTACTTACATGATCACATTTGTAATGTCAGTTTAGGCATATACCACTTGCTATAAAGTGTCAAAGTCATTATTAAAGTTAGTAGGTCAAGGAATTATAGCAGTATGTACAATAGGATTGAATTTGCAAATCACTCAATTCCCAAGGGCCCAAGACTGTTCATGTAGCGCCTCAGAGCTTTGGCTCACCTCAGCTTTTCCCAGCAGATCGATGTCAAGTGCTACCCAAGAATTTCCTGAAAGTAGAATTCTCCAAAATATGTAATCACAGCTCAGAAAGTCCCTTCAAGACCCTTCTTATGGGCTTAGCTTTTTGTTGTTGTTGTTTGCCTTAAAGGAAAATTAAGTGAATCACATCAAAATCAAACTTGTGACCTTTGTTGATCTCACTTTAGATCTCCAAGATTCCCGAGCCTAATCTGGGTTGACGTTCCCTACAATTCCATCCAGTCTTTCATAAGGTCACTAATTTTTGCCTACAAAGTATATTGAAAATATGGTTCTTCCATCACCAAATGTTCCTCCCATCATTTGTAGGCAGAAATGCAATAATTGTGTGTATCTGAGCTGGCATTGCTCCTCCTCCAAATCTAGCCTCTACTAAGGCCCCAGAGTAGCATTTTGACAGTGTAAATATAATGACTATCACCATCTAGCTGCACAAATCATTAACCTAGGTTATCAGGTGCAGACTAAAGCTGTGTATTTGATCTCTAGAAGCACAGTGAAGTCACGCTCCTCCACTCTCATCTCTTGGCTCCTCCT